CGCAACCAAATATTTTCTCTCATTGGTGGGAGTGGGGAATATCAGTACCAAGCGCACGATGAGACCTAACTTTTGAATGGTATTGTCGCGAGTGTACTACCTTAAGTTAGCCGATCCTTTCTTTTATATGCCGGGCGGTATAGACATCTTAATAGGAGGCGATTGGTTCTGGAATCTCCTTTGCATAGGACAATTCAAAATAGAACAGCTCACGATGCAGAAGACTAGGCTGGGGTGGATAGCAGCCAGCCCGCTCGAACCAACGGGCGCAAATTCCATTAAATGCAATTTTGCCAAAGAAGTAGACATAGATAGACAGTTGACTAAATTCTGGAACATCGAAGAGATTCAGGACCAAAGAATATTCACCGCAGAAGAAAGGGAAGCGGAGGCACATTTTGTGAGAACGACTCGAAGAAACGAAGACGGAAGATTCATCGTTAGCATGCCATTTAAGAGAAGTCCAGACGAGCTTGGCGAGTCGAGAGCAATCGCTCGTCGTCGTCTCATCAATCTAGAGAAAAAAATTGCATACAACGGAAGCGCTCGAACGACAATATTCGGCTTTTCTCGAAGAATACGAAAGATTAGGTCATATGCGGAAGATTTCGAATGAAAGAACACAAGGATCGGCATATTACCTTCCTCATCACAATGTAATACGGATGGAGAGCCTAACAACAAAGGTCAGAGTTGTTTTCGATGCATCGGCGGCTACAGATAGCGGCGCTTCTCTGAATGATTTACAAATGATAGGTCCGACAATACAAGAGGATCTGCTGGCTATACTTCTCAAATTTAGAACGCACACCTATATCCCTGTTGAAAAAAACCAGGTGGGAATCTATATGGGAAATCCATATGGATAATCCGTATAAGATTCCATATCATTTTCTATGGGAATTTGGGCCAAAAATCCAGGTCCTATGTGGAAATCTATGTGGATTCCTGTGTAATAATCCATGTGGATTCTTACACTGACAAAAAATTAATAAAAAAATTTATTTATTTTTTATTCAATTATTACATATTATTTTTAAAGTTTAATTTGTGTTTACTATTCCGCATATTTTCTATTTTATTATTTACTATAACATAAGTTATAAATATTCGTAACAAAGAAATATAACTTTGTTCAATTTAAAGTACTTTAAAGGAATTTACTAATTGTAAGCACAATGATATTTATATTTATAAGTGAAATAGTATTTACTTTTTAACAATACTGGATTAAGATCGGAAGAGCACACGT